AATCTTTCGGCTCGTCGTGCGCAGGTGTGAACTCCTCTGTCTCGGGGTTCACTGGGGCGTAATTCATCTTGAAAGCGGGGAGAGAGTGGCGACTGCTGGAGGAGTTTCGGTGGTAGAGGGTCGGTGCTGAACGAAGGAGGAAGGAAGGATGATGTAAGAAGGGACCAGGTGAGCTTGTAAGTCAGGGTTCGATGATGTATCTTGTCGAACAGCAGAAACAAAGTAAGATTGTGATGATTGACACGTCGTCGATATAGATTCGAAAGTGATAAGAGCCTTGGTGAGCGGTGTTCGAAGTTTTTGATTTTCGACCCGCGAAGTTCAAACGCGCTTCGCGTGAGATCAGGCACGCCAGGCCACCCACAGACACACAGCCCGCCCCCTCGGCTAGCAGCACGTGGCTGTGAGCGCCGCTGATCTGGCTAATTGAGCTCAGGATAGGCAAACACACAGCCTCTGCAATCGCACAGTTGTCATCGAAATACGAGATATGCGGTCTCGGAGTGAATGCGGCGGCTGATTGCAAACGCGCGTAGATAGTGGGTACACGGTATTTTTGTCTTGCGCGATTCTCAAACGAGTAAAGGACGTGGCAACGGATCATGGCACATGCTCAATGGAGAGTAACAGTAGTATTCATTCACAATGTGGGTATCTTGTATGCGCGCCCGCAATAATGGCCTGTAGCAAAATTAAACCCCCAACTCCCTGCCCGGAGGACAATGTGACAATTTGAGAAATGTAGCAAAAACTCCAGTGCTGGCGTGAATGACCAAGTAGTCACGCGGCAACCTAAACTCTGATCACAATGTGGATGCCTAAACATCTGGCCTCGCGAATGGAGCAAGCCAAACAAGTCCTTCCTACACGACTCACGATCGCATGAAGGCCCTTTTCCGCACACCAGGCTCGTGCGAGCAGCTGAAGATCAGACGAAGCCCTGGCATCTAGTACCAACACAGCCTTCTTATTATTTTTGATTGTCTCCGCTGTGTCGCTGTCGTTGCTCCGCGACAGATCAAGTAGGCGCTCCGTAGACTTGGACGTGTGAAGCTCGAACGGCAGTAAGAAGTCAGATTCCAGAACATCGGTGACTGGCACGATCTTGTACGAGTACGACTGGTGTAGAGGATGTGCGTTCATGGGCTTGCTGCTAGTCGCAAGCGTCTCGACTTCTGGTCCGGCAGATGCTTCGTACATCCGCTTTGGCGCAATATCTGCGGCGTCTGGGGGATGTGATAGGAGCGGCTCAAATCCGTGGCTGTTGCGGCGTGATAGGGTTACACTGTGTTTTGAAGAAGACCTCGAGATGGTTCCGGTACCAGAGCGCCTCAAAACCTTGGGGCGATGCGTGAATGAGGGAGGCGCAGACGCTGCGGTAGTGCAAGGGAAAGAGGTAACAAATTGAACATCGTATGTTAGAGTGATGGTATGGCTCACTACGTCTCCTCTGGAGACGAATGTCATGGATGGGGCGTGAATGTCGCTTTCGGTTGGCGGCCCTGTCAAGCTGTCGCCGTCGATGAGGTCCGTGTTGATTGGGACCAATTCCCACTGCGAGAAGACCAAGGAGGGAGCCAGGTACGAATCAGGATCCTGAGGAAGAACAAAGTCCTCGGACCTCAATGAAGCTAGAGAAGTGACTGGCGCGATAGCTGACTCTTCGGCGACTGTGTCAGAACCGTCTCTTGGTCGTAACCGGTTCTCGTGCGGAAGCAATTCGCTGTGAATCGAGTACCAACGGTCGGCAGGGCTGTCGGGCAGCTTTGGACATGAGATCCAGCCCATACACTCTGTGGAGCCTTTGGCACACGCCAGAATACGCCCAACAACAGAAGCTTTGCTCCAAAAGGTTCTGTTGCCAAAGGTGAATCCGCCGTACAAGTTTGCTGATTCTCCCAGGTTGGCAATAGCGTTGCTATCGTTCTCAAGCAAGGTTGACACGAGGAAGTGTGAGATGGCTTCTCCGGGGAGCACAAGACCGGTCAGATAAGACCGACTCAGCCACCCTCCAATATTGTAGCTGGACGTGGCATCGTTTTCCGAGATGGTCGACACGGGAGAAAGTGGCATGCGTAAGGCACGAGAGTTGTTGCGATTCAGAGCGGGCTTCCCGATGTGGCCGAAGTAGCTGTCCAGTTGTTGACCGGAAGCGAGGGGTGTTTGCAATGGCGTGCCGTAGACACTGATGCCGGAAGGGGTAGCCATGTCGAGCAACCTCCCGCTGGGCGATGATGGTGTGGGTTCCTCGATCTTGTCTTGCTCTCCAAGCTTCCGAGCTAAGTCCGCCGAGACCACGTCAAGGCTAGGCCATTGCAGCGTCTTCGCAAAGTGAAGAAGCCCAGAAAGCTGTCTGGCTTGATGTTGTGGAAGTATGATGAGGTCTGACTGCGGTATCTGGGCGTGAGCGCCTTGGCTTAGCAATGACATTAGTCCACGTAGTTTGGGTTTGGGTGAGACTGGGGCATCGTTGCCTCTCATGATGACGACGTTGTCGAGAAATCTCCGTGCGAGCACCAAATCCCAGTCAACCTTCCTCGTCTTGATCTTGAGAAACCCTTCGATATCCTTTGCGTCAATCCGAAGTCGGATCTCAGCGTCGGTCGCATCTGCATTCGTGAAGGCATCCAGTCGAAGCAGCAACTCGCAAGCCAAGGTGATCTGCAGTAATAGTATCTCCCGCTCTGTCCATAGCGTTTGATGATCATGCTCGGAAGCTGGCTCGGGTTCACTCCACAGTATTTGGCCAAGCCTTATCCTCCATTCGACAAGGCTGAAGTCGTACCAGACACCCTTGAGTCCCAATACCCTGAGTAGGGCCACGATTTGTGTCTGCAAGCCTGTAGGGTCTTCGGTAGAGTCGTCGTAGCCCGGAGGGGTAAGGAACTTGGTGAATAGATTCGCGTACAGATCTCCAGAGCTTTGGTTGTTGAGGATTGTCATGGGCTCGGGGCTGTCTTGGAATGCCTCGTACATGTCCTGGAACTCAGCCAAGCGGTCGTATATCAAGTTCAAGTCCACCGAACGGATACCCAGTCGCTCAGGAGTTGCCTGCATGACGTCCTTATTTCTGGCCGACTCAGCGGAGTCTTGACGGGACTGAGACGGGTCCAGCTCACTGGCCAGCGTGTCAGACCTTGGTAGCTCGAGGAAATGCGAGAAACCAACAGTCCCTGGTTCGACACCCTGGGCACTGACCATGCTCGGCATCTCCACCACGTCCACCTGATAACCATTGTACTGTTTCGAAGTCTCGGGTAGCTGTCGGGTCTTGGATGGATGTTCGTGTAGGGTCGCGGCTGAGAAAGCGGGCTCGGCAAGTGTAATTGTATCGGTTGCTTCCTTGAGCACAGCATCGGCGTTCCAAGGATGAGTGACGGTCGGTAAGTAGCGACTGCCTGTCCTGGCGATGCCAAACTGCGGGGCCCCAGCAAAGAGCGTACGAAGCTGGCCCTCACCAAGAGTCTCCACCTTGTCCTCCTTGGTTTCTTGCGGTGGTGTAGGTACGCGATCTGGCTCTGGTTCTTCTACGGGCGCCATGCTCTCATGGTCGACTGCGGCACTCGGTTCCTCTTGGGGTATCACATCGAGTGTTTGTGGAGGGGCTGATTGCGGGGCAGTGTTATCGTGCTTGGGCGGTGCCTTTGTCGGGAAGTTTGCTATCAGCTTCTTGATCATCATACGAGTATCGTGACGATAACACCAAAGAGAAGGAGCAGGTGACATACGGGGACAGCGACTTCACCCTGGCGCTGTGTTTGCTTCTGCTTGAAAGCCCTGAAGAACTTGAGGACGCGCTGCCTCTTGCTGTCCTTCCGCAGCAGCTTTCCGGCATTCTCGTCAACCATGTCGTGGTGCAGTCGTCGCAGCATCGTGGCGGCCTGCAGCAGGCGGGCGAGGCATACCGGCGGCGGACATTATAAGGGGATAAGGGGACGTCAACAAAGCTCAGCAGGCTGGGCGCGACACAGGCTGCACACATGCACGTCAAACATGGCAGTCATCCCTGCACTGACAGGCGCGCACGTCTCGATGGTTGGTGCGAGGCCGCTGCCGGTCCCTGTCCCGCACATCATCCAGGCCGATCAGACGAATCCGCGGATGACGTCCACCTATCGCCCCACCTGAGTGGCCCTGCATCACCTGCACCTCTCGCGCCAGGCACTCACATTCCTGTTAGCAGCGCGCCACTGCGCCTACACGACGCGCCTACATCAATCAAACACTCGCAACTCGTTTGCATTATCCACGCCATCATCTAAAGGCCGTTGTCTATGACGCTATATCGGTCCGCTCGCCTCCAGGTTCCAAGTCCTGTCCAACGGGCCCGTGCCAAGCTTCTAGAACGTGGACCCGGGTCGGTCATTTCCGCGTCTCTAATCTTATCGCCTCCACGAGCAACTGCATTCCATGTTGTATACAACGGTGCTCTATATATACGGCAGCAGTGGCCCGAAAGAGCTCTCTGGCCTTGAGTTGGCTTTCGTCGTTGCACCAGCAAGACAGAGCCTCAGTCGCGAACCTCCAACAACAATTGCTAGGCACCGTTCATGCCTCATCGGGCACGATTCACCCCAATGTTTCATAACGATCGATGGTGAACTTGGCCAATGGGAGATTGAATGGACCATATATGAACGAGACTTGTCGTACGACTCAACCTTGTCATATGTCTAGTATGCCAGGTTTCTTACTTCTTTTATGCGAGTAGTGCATTCACTATTCCGTAGCAACTTCATCAACGTTATGCAAACAATCCTCGATAAACAGTATTGAGTCACTGAAACCTCTGGCCTCTGCGGCTGGTACAAGCTATTGAGACTGCAGTCTCGTCAGCAATGGTGTTCATACGTGGACCCCGCATGTCGTGGTGTCACACAGCAGCACCTCCGCATTCACCTATCCCACGCTAGTGCAAACAATGATCCCTATCATTCAGCAACACTGAGAACACTGTGCGCGACACCACAAACACAAGCCAAATCACAATCTCCGACAAGATGGGATTGCTTGAAGACGCGCGAAGACTTGCCGACACCTACGGACCAGAGGCGGCGCGACATGTAGCATCTGCTGCGGACAAGGCATGGACACACGGTAGCGCCTTCGGCCAAGAGGTAGCAAAGCGTGCTAGCCCAGTCGCCTCAGACGCCAAAACCCATCTAGAGAAGCTCAGTAAAGAGGCCGGCAAGCACGCTGCCCCAATCGCCGGCAGTGTCTCAAAGCATGCTATGATACTTGCCCGAGCAGCCTACAACAGCGGCAAACAAGGTCTGCACACCCTGCCGCAGGTCCCAGATGGATACATGAACGAAGAGTATGACTGGAAGTTCATTACAAAGTTCGGGGAAGACATGGCGAACCATCTTGGTACTACAGCCGGCGACGTCTGGGAGAAGCTAAGCAGCGGCGACATCCTCCATGACATTGGTCAGGCGGCTATCCCGAACATTGAGTTCACCAAGAGATCTCACGGGGTTCAGCGAGAGGCTCAAAGCATGGATTCTTGACAACCCCAAATTGTTCTCCACGTTGCTGGCATGTATCGCTTCGGGCCCCATCGCCCTTGCTGTCACACCGGCCATGCTAGGCCTTGTGGGCTTCACACCCATCGGCATCGCTGCTGGTACGTATGGATCACTGATCATATCTCCGGACCGACTTTTAACACATGAGCTAGGCTCCATGGCTTCTGCATTCCAAGCAGGCGTCGCTCCCATCGCTGCGGGTAGCGCTTTCGCTATCCTTACGAGTGCCGCAATGGGACGGTATGGGCTTGCAATCGTCCAGGCGATTGCTGTAGGCTCAAGCGTGACAGGAACTTGCGGTATCGCAGCCAGCGCATTCATGGAAGCTGTCAAGGAAGACCAACAGTCTAGGAAATCGAAGACGGAGTAAAAGCAACGTTGGAGAAGAGAGAGAGCACCAAGAGAGGTACAACGGGAAGATGATGTGGTCTGTATGAGCATTCATTACTTCCCCAATGGTATGTACCTGGCCCGACGGCCATATCGTAATCAGCTAGAGCATCCACTCGAAAGAGCCCAACAGCGGATTAACGATACATGGACGACTGCGCCTTGTTCGCCCCATCCAACTCCAGATCAGCTCTGTTCCCATCGTGAAGCTCGTACACCTATCTCAACGTTAGCTCAACACCCCTTGCCGCGTTAGCATTTCGACATACCGGTTCCTGATGCGGCATCTCAGCCACGTGGTGGTACCCTTTGGCTAAATCCTGCTTCTGCCTCTCTTCCGCGATCTCATTCTCGATCTCCCGAGTCTTCTGCTTTGACTTCCGTCTTCGCAGTAGAATGGTCACTGCAATACCTAGCAGAGCACCAACTCCAGCGCCAACACCTACGCCGATACCGATGTTGCGTCCCGAGTTCGATTTGCCCTCATCTTTCTGCTCTTCGTTCTGGCCGGATAGGTTCGCTGCGTCGGACGATGGCGTGGGTTCCTCGCCCGTTCCCGTCCCTGTCGCTACCGGTGCCCCACTCCTAGTTATCGTGCTCCCGATCGAAGACGCTGTGCCCACACGTGAGGAAGCCGGTCCAGCACTTGGCGATGCCAGCCCCGCACTCGCAGAAGCTACTTGGTCGCCTCCAAGTTCCTTTGGAATCCTGATTCTCTTCGATACCAGCGCATCAGCGGAGGCCGAACAGCACGCGTTGCTGTCTCCACAACACCAGTACTCTGATTTGGCTGTTCCGTCGCAAGGCGTCAATTGTGAGACGGAGTCTGCTAGATTCTAGTCGCTTGTTAGCTTTCTGAAACCAGGCACCCAGCCACATGCATAGCCACAAACGGGGAAAAGCAACATACCCCGTCTCTGCAGACATCCAAGCAACCCTCCCAGTTCGCATTCGCACAGTAAACCCGGTAGAAGTGCGTCCACGGCTCTGCCTCTTGGCCAGGTGCGCTGCTGAAGCCTCTGTTCTGACACAGCCCGTTCGGCATGCATTCATCCGCCGTAGGGCCGTTTATAACATCGCCGCCCGGTGGATTCGGCCATTGCGTTTGGCAGCATGTGTTGTAGAGCGGGGAGCCAGATATGGAAGAACAGCGCGAAGTTCCTTCGTCCTGGTGCGCGGTGCCGTTGGGGAGGAAGCAGGTGGGCGTGCTGGACGGGAGCGACGCTAGGAGGAGAAATGTTGCAGATATCGACGCTTGCGACAACATGCCGGGCATCGAGTATGCGGACTGTATTCCGCAAAAGTTGTTTTTGTCACTGTCGACGAGACGAATGTTAAGGTGGAGAGAAGCGGGAAGAGAAGAGTCTGAGGAGCGATCTGAGCGGAAATACACGAACGAAGCTCCCACTTCTTTCCTTGCACTGCCTGATCGTGATACGATTAAGGCAAACCATCGAGCTAGGGTCATCCCGAATTAGCGTTGGGGTCGAGGGGCCGCGAAATTAAAATTGGATACCGTCCCGTCCCCTTTCGGGTAATTTCCACGACTCATCAGCGGCTTCAACCGTTGAATTCCGTTAGATGATAATGTCAAAGTGGGTTGTGGTCGCCGACCGTTCTGCAAAGGTAAAAATATACATTGAACGACTGTAGACTGTTGATGATAAGATGCACAAACGAAAGGATGGGGTATCTTGCACGCGCTGTAATGAAGGACAAAATCGCAACGCCTACCACAAAAGGAAATTATCTGTCTCGAGCGGAATCCTTCCGACTCTGCAAACACCAGCTCATTCATGTCTGCCGACTAAGCAGCAATTCCACCGCTCGGTCGACCCTCAGTCCGTCTCCCAGATCGGTTAACCTTAGCGCCTCTCGGGCCTGCTCGGCTGTGAAACCCATCTCGACAATCCGCCATATGGCCTTATCGGCCGTGTTCTCATGACTCCGAGATCCATAGATGTGGTGTTGTTGTTCGTGCTGTTGGAGGGCTCCACCTCTGGGAGTGGAGCTTCCGGCAGATGACTGACTACTACTCTGACGCATGTGGCGGCCACGGTAAGGCATTGACATGGGATGAGGGCGGAATGCGGGGTGAGGCGGTCCGGGTGGTTCGGACAGAGGATGATGTAATGGATCCTCGAGGATAGAAGGCATAGATGTGCCTGTGCTGTAGCGATGCCAATCACGACTGTTTGTCGCCGTGGAAGCGGAGGGTGTCGGCAGAAGCGGCTGAGCAAACATGCGGCGGGGTGGAGAGCTTGCGCTTGATACACTGCCCATGGTGTATAGATCGCGGTTGCTCTGGACTGTTGTGACCGAGGGAGATGGTAGAAGGGGCTGAGCAACCGTTCGACGTGGCGGTGAGGGTGTCCGTTCCCTGATAGGTGCTAGGATTGACGAAATGCTATGTCGATCATGGTTACTAGGAACTGTGGAGGGGGGCGGTGATGGGAGCAAAGGCTGAGCCACAGTTCGCCGAGGTGGTGAAGCTGTTCTGCTGGATGTCGACCTCGATCTAGGAAGAGGCACAGATGTCGGTATGTCTTCCACAGAAGATGATCTCAGTGCCGGAACATGAGTGATGATGTCCTTTCCCGGGCCTTGTGGTGGTAGAGGAGGGCGTGTCAAGTTTCGAATCACAGTATCCCAGTCTGACATGGGTCTTTCCCTGAGAACCATTGGTCGTTGCTCACCATTCCTTTTGCGATCCTTGAGTTCGTCAATGTGTTTCTGAATACGTATCTTGGACTGTTGGCGCTGCACGTCGCGGATTGAGATCTTAGCATAGGTATGCGCAATCTTGTCTTCGTAGACGCGTCGGGCTGCTTCTTTGAGGAAGTATTGTCGTGTACCGTCAAGCACAGGAGGCTTCCAGTTGACCCATCCGTTCTCCGCCGCAATAACAAAGGCTTTGGGATCCGAGGGGTGGAACGGGCCAGTGAGCTTGAGAACAGTATCAAGGCCAAAGGTGAGGAGGTGGTAGATCCATTCGTCTGGTCTGGTTAGCAAGATCCATGATTATGCAGCGGATAGACGAACCAAGCATCATCTCCTCGCCATCAATATCGCCACCACGAATGTCGGTGTTGTCGTAAATACCGGCTTGTCGGGCTTGAACTGTGCGCCCTTCGAAGTTTTGTAGCAGGACGGAAAGACAGGTCCATAGTTCCATCATGTCGAAGAGTTGCTCGGCGGTAAGGCCGCCTTCGTTCCCTTGCCCGAAGCACTCAGGTGCACCGACCAATGTGTCGCTCATGAGGTCTGTGCTCATCATGCTGAAGGTGCAGGTCGCCTGATGGACAAGCATACCACCATTGAGCCAGTCCATCTGCGCAACAATGTCCTCCTCACGTCCTTTTCCCGAGCCAAATAGCTTACAGAATGTCCATATGCGCCATAACGCATCGTCAACCCTAGCAGACTCGGCTGGGCAGGCGCTCATGAGCGCAGCTGATATCTCTGGTCGTACGAAGGACTGGCATTTCTCCATAATCTCCAACTTGATTGTGCGGATGACTTGGATGTCTCGCTTCTGGAGCTTGAGATATGAAGTTGGGGTGTACTCCTCTGCAGGTCGTGTCGTCTCAAGGTCTGCTGCAAGTAGAAGTTCGTGTCCAGGAAAGGCGATCTCTCTAAACTCCCAGGCTGGTGGTGACATCTTTTGCAAGGTAGATTTGATGAGATCGAGTTCATGACGTTTGAACACACGATAGAAGCCTCGGTTGATGGAGGCTGCGGCGAAAAGATCGTTGAAGTGATCTAGATGTTGGAAGATGTTGAGTATGACTTTCTCAGCTCCGTCAGACGTAATGGGTGGTTTGGTGGTTTTGGTAGAAACAGCTCGCGGAGAAAACACCAGGTCCACACTGGAACGCTTGTATTGCGGAATCATAAGTGTCAATGTTCTGCTCGTGCGAAAGGACTTTCGCTTCAGCTGTGAAGCGATATGGTCTCGCGGTAGACGGTTGACTTCAACAGTCGTCCTGGCTGCCAATCGCCGCCTGCTGGATTTACGCGGGACAGCCGGAGGAGGATTATCAGGCAGTACAGCATTAGCGAAATCTCTTCGGGGCTGGCCTGTAGTATCAATAAGCTTCCCGTCTCCAGCTGACGCCTGACGCATGCCCCTCCAGGAAGGGTTGCGTTCTGCAAGGGGCGTCCCATCCTGGGCAAGCATGCGAGGATCGCTGTTGCTGCCAAACGAAGAAGCCAGTTGAGCGTGCAGGTCGAACTCAGCCTCGCTCAACGTAGGGCTGGACGCACGTGGAGGGATTGGAAACGCTTCAGTTCCTGAGGGTTTCGCCTCGTTGATCATGCCCATACTTGCATCCGCGGCTAAGTTCTGCCGCGGACCGCTCCGCTTTGAGGACCTTCGGTTCAATCGTGGCTTGCTCTGAGCTACATGGAGAGCACAAGTTGGTTGGAAGGGGAGATTCTCATCGCTAGAGGACGGGTGGATGTATTCTCGGGGCGCTATCGACGGCGGTGCATGGGATTGGCTCCCGTTGAAAGATAGGGTGAGCTCAGAGCGAGCATGTAGAGTACCTCTAGGCGCCAGGGTCTGGCCACTCGGAAGATGCGCTGAAGGTTGGCAGGTGCTTCCTTGTGTCGGAGATTTATCGACCTCCACGCTAGTCTCTGAAGAGTGGTTGCTGTGCAGTGATGAAGCATCGCTATCTTGCGACTCGTTACACGAACTGTTAGACTCGAAGCTACTCTTGAATTGGTTCGGTGTGTATCGCGTATTCACTGGAGCGGTTTGGCGGATTGTGTGCTGTGTTTGCGGATGCGCAAGTGGAGATACAATGGAATCTCGTATGCGATGGTGGCTTGCTGACGGAGGCGAGACCTCGTGGTGGCTTTCGAGATCGGTAGGGCCCGTTTCGAGGAATGGAAGAGCGGGCAGTGGCTTTCCACAAGGGATTACCACTTGTATCTTAGGCTTCGCAGCCGGATGTCTGGCCCCGCTCGGAATGTTCTTCTTGTGCTTAGTGACCGTTTTGCGATTCTTCTTTCGCCATTGGATTTTGCCGTGCTTATATGTGCCGATGGTGCCTACAAGCGATGCGTGGCTTGATGCCGACAGTCCACCTGCAGTATTACTGGCTCCCGTTGCGACCACTGCCGAAGCAATGCTCTTCCGTCTCCTACCCCAGATAGATGTTGATCTTGAAGGCAACGGTACGGTCAAACCTGCTGACGACGGTCGGTTGCCGTCATTGCCGTCCCTGCGACCCTCGGTCGCTGTGTTGTGATTGTGAGAGGGGAGAGCCGCATCGTCTTTAGTACTTTCTGGAACTGCGCGTAAGATGGTAGCTGACTTTTTCGGCTTTAGCTTAAGTAAAGCTGACATCCTTCTCTTCAGTGCGCCAGGTGAGGCTGATCACTCAGAGCAATGTGTCAACATGGGCAGGTGGGCTTGAGCGGGTCGATTAGTGACGTATTAGGCTGCAGAAAATGTACGAGTAGCAGTCTGGAGTTGCTGAGGGTGAGTAGTTGGATAAGGGATCTCCCATCGAAGCCGTGACTCGGGCATGGTGGCAGGGCATGGACTGTATATCGTCCGAAGCCAAGATAATCATAACCTAAGGCACTGCTAGACACCACCGAGCTCCATGAATAGCCCGGCCGTGGCGTTCCGCACAGAAGATGCATGCAGCGCCCGGCGAAAGCTGAGCTGAGTGAGATGAGATGGAGGCCAACTCCGAGTGGGCGGACAGGACAGCATGGGTGGGCAGGCGGGCGAAAACCCAATGACGCACGCCCCCGGGACATGTACGGCTCCTCATTGCGCAATAAACGTTATCACAAGGATGCGTTGTAGTGAGGCATAGCAGTGGGGAGCAATCAGAGACATCCAAGGTTGTTGTGTTTTGGCGCTGGGGCCGTGCTATTTGCGGCGCGACTGCTTGCTCAGCCCTGGTGCCGCACTAATTTGGGGCCATTGTGCCGGACACGACGTCCGCCTCGAACTACTCTATAAGCACTGCGCCTTATTGATGCACCAGGCACACCTCATGTATGTCGAAACCCCACGGCACCGTGCATCGAACTCCATCTCGTTTCAGCTTCTCGACCCCAACATCACTGATCATTTGCATCTGCCTGGTCCTTGGACGACTAGCGGTGATCCAAGGTTCGCTCTAGCTGTGACCATGACGTCGCTGACGTCGCACTGCAAGGAGCTGTGCTGGCCTTACCAGGGTGAGGCTGTTGGCTACACAGAATATCTTCAACCGAAGCAGAATGATCAGAGACCTCTGGAGAAACCTGGCCCCTCCAGACCCTTCGTGTAAGGCGTGCGCATGCGAATAGGAGTGGGCGTCCGGCGCGGTGATACACACTACGGCCCACACGGACTTCGACATCGCACATGTAGTGCCCCGATCAACTCTTAGTCCGCACATGATCGAGGGTCCGTGATTGCGACCCTGTTGCGTATCGTTTGATTGCCGGTCACATCCGTGACGGTGGTTTCGGCTCGTATCATCGGAACCTTTCTCAGATCTTCTGTCAGCTTGGCCTTGTAACGCGTAAGGAGATAAGAGGGCATCAATCCAACCGCTTATATGTCGTAGCGACCCGTTGCTTGGAGGTCGTACTTGCTGGCTTTGATAGTGTGAGAACGTGTCAAGGCTGCTAACATTCAAAGGTTGGCATAGAGAGTCTTGTATTCCGCTCCCACATTTCGGGTAGTCAACACATAGTCTATTGGAGGAAGACAACACGCTACACGCTGTGTAACGTTGCGCACAGAGCTGGAACCCCTCTTTGTATTCTGCGCTAGTAACGGAGACCGCGTATCTGATCCAGAATCATCGTGATGTCGAAAAAGTTTGAATCTTCATCTCTTCTTTCGCAACCCAGCGCTACTAACGCTAGCGATCGCTCTAGATCCAACGGCGGGAGATTGACATTTAGCGAGATATGGATGCCAACCAGTGCACAGAGCAATGGCAGCGCACGATCCTGAAGTATATCAACCGTATTGCAATTTCTAGACACGCTACTGACTAGACTCAGGAAGAGCAGATTGCTCAAGCAAATTCAAGAGCGGTATGGGCCTTAGCCTGTCTCAAAGGCTTACCACTGACCTCTCAGGATCGCCGATGAAATCAAGGTCCCCCGCATCACCAGATCGGAAAAGCTCAACGTGCTGCAAGATTGGAAAGGCGTCTTCACGAAGTGAGTCTGGTTTGTCTATGGTCGTAGAAGTGGTCGCTGATACCGCCAAGTCAAATCAAGGCCGACCTTGAACAATGCTCCGGTCAGCTTCTCGCGCCGCTCCTCAGCGAGATTCACGCTTCGCTTCCGTTGGAGGTCCGTGAGAATATCTACGAGCATGTCTTCGACATCAGCAAGCCGATAGTCATCCCAAGACTGGAACATCCCAAGGTCGAGATCGTGAACGGAAGATTGCAATCTGGCAGCGCTGGAGCGAGCGAGCATGCGAAAGCCATGCGCGAAGAGCTCAATCCGTTCATGCATGACTACTGTTTCTCCGTCGCTGTGATGGGTTCATCAGTCAGTACTGAATTCCAGAACCTAGCGCTTCGCAAAACGCCCTTCTACTTCCGCGGCTCCAGAACCAGTCTAAACGTTAAACAGCTACTGAATACCGAGATCCGGCCGGGGGTATACTTCCGCGATCTTGTCCGCCATCTACGTGTGTACCTTCGCAGCAACGCCGCCTTTCACGATGCCGAAGACGTTGCAACGGGTGTGAGCAGAGCTCAAATAGCAAGCTATTCAGAACATGTCACACTCGACGTACCTTCAACAAGCGCAATGTATCTTGATCGCCTAGAAGGGTTGGAGACGCTCAATTACACAAATCATACTGTTGTGCTGGAGCTTTGCTTCCTTGCTCCGATAGCAGGTCCTGGAGGGATACTGCATGAACCTAGTATCAAACGTAATCTGTATGAGATGGTAGGATCGGTATACCGTCGTGCGAGGGATGATGGCGCAGACGTCAAGGTACGGTATGAAAGGTTCACCACAGGAGGTGGAGAAGACTGGACGGAATATCTTGAGAGGGACAGACGAGACGCGGTGCAGGTATGTCGTACTGATCTTGTCATGCCTTTTAACAGGACGCTGACTTAGCCAGTTCAAACAACAACAACACGCGTTCTGCGACGGTCCAACAGCAGCCTCCTCCCTCCACGATTTGTTCAACGCACCGATCCTGGTCTCTGAAGCGAACATAAGTTGGCAGCACGGTTTTTTATTGAATTACTTTCATGAATGTGGCTGCAGATTGTGCACGCAGCATAGATTGAGGTGCTCAACGGGCGTGGTACACTGCTTCATGTATCCCACTGGGATAATTTAGGAAGATGAATAGATAGCCATAACTCGAGGCTACTAAGTTCAACTGTTAGACGCTAGACGGAAGATATAGGTGTTACAAAAGCTACTACCGAACACGAGCAGTTGAGCAGTTCGTAAAGTTGATGACATTCAATGACACTGCCGTATACTTCTGGTTCTCTCAACACGAATCCAATCGTCCACCCTATGCCGTCATATCCAACACAACCCTACCCTGCAGCTTGCCCGCATGCATCTCATTGAAGATATCCGAAAGTTTATCCATCTTCTCCGTCCTGAAATGCGTCTTAACAATACCCCTCGCCGCAAACTCCATCGTCTCAATCGCCTCCTTCCTTGATCCTACCGCAGAACCAACAATCTGCAGCGCTTTGGCGACCATGACACCAGGGTTCGCACTCTTGATGGGTACGACGTCACCCTCGGGGATACCTACACACACAACGCGGCCACCGAAACGAAGTAGGTCTACAGATTGGGCGTAGGCCATGTTGTTCGCTGTGCAGACAACGACGGAGTGAGCGCCGAGACCGTTTGTGAGTGCTTGAACAGCTTCGACCATGTTCTCTGTTCCGTCTACGGGGATGAAGTGCTCAGCGCCGCTTTCCATGACGATGTCTTTCTTGGAAGAGTGGTCGATGCCGATAACGCGGTGGCCAATTCCCCTGGCACTGAATTGCACGGCCAAGTGACCTAGTCCGCCTCCGGCACCCGATATCACGACCCAAGCACCTGACTCGGCGTTTGTCTTGCGGAGCGCGGAGTAGACGGTCACACCTGCGCAGAGAAGCGGTGCCGCGGCTGCGGAGTCGAGGTCGGCGGGGATGGGCGTGACGTAGTTTGCGGGGGAGAGGACGTATTGTTGGAAGGTTCCTGGTGTGTAGTATCCTGATACTTTCTGTTTACCCGAATTAGTGATCGCAGTCCAGAAGTTGGTCATAGGTATAGGTAAAACTTACTCCTGAGAAACACGAAGCGTCCATACCCGCCCTACAAGCCTCGCATGTCTCACAAATACCCGCCATCCATTTGATACCCACACGATCTCCCATCTTGACTGCCGAGTTCTCGGTTCCAGGTCCCATCTTTACGATCTTGCCTACGCCCTCGTGACCACCGACTTGTCCGGCTTGTGTGGGGAAAGGTAATGTTTTCCACGAGTTCATCATAACGCCTAGATCGGAATGGCAGACACCAGAGTGTGTGAGATTGATCAAGACTTCGCCGGCGCCGGGCTCGGGCATGTCGAGATCGACGATTTTGGTGGAGATAGAGCCGGGCGCATCGTAGATGGCGGCTTTATATTTGGAGGGAAGGGACATGTTGGACGGTTGATGTAGTGTACCACTCGATGTAGAGACAGTTCGGACGAGACGCTTCGGGGAGGGGGAAGGAGCAGTCAGGATGGGTTAATTGAAGACGGATTGAAGCAACCCGAGAGACACCTCCAGTACATATACCTTTCCCCGCACCAACACCCAAGCTCCATAACGCGTCGAGCTACCCTGACTCTCCCTTAGCTAACGACCCTATCTCTACCCCACACCAGCCCCGTCTACGGCCTTCCAACACAATAGATACGAAGTTACGCACACGGAAAAAGTGCACAACCCTCACCCACAAACTACCTCACCCATCTACCGGACCAATAACACTCTTGTCACATTCGGACCGCCATCCATGCCCAGCTGTACCTCACGATAAACACACGCGTCAGCACGAAGTATCCACAAACCCAAGGTAACTACCTAAAGAACCGAAGCCGAGGCAAACAGCTAAAACGCGTGACCACACGTAGCTGAAGTTTACCCCGCACCCGCGATTGGGGGGCAAAGCTGTAAGTGGATTGGGAACGAGGGACCAGACTAGACTACGTCAGGCGGGATGCATGTGAGCGCGGATGTGGGGTTGAGCCAAGACGTCCGAAGTTCCGTTGCTGCACATATGAGTAAGCTAGGCGTATAAGAAGTGGATTAGGTCGGAGATTGGGATGTAGCAAGGCGTGCAGTCGATCTACAAGTTTTTTTCCCTGGTGATACAGTCGGTGGTTTGGATTTTGCGTTCCTGTGTGTATGGAGTCTGGGACAGTGGGGTAGAGCTTGTGGTGATGCGACTGTGGCAGCTTCAGCCACTGAACTTTATTGTGGAAGGCGCGTCATCGTGGCCAGCACGTGGGGTCGAGACAAACTCGTTGGATTAGAGCAATGTTTGATATGTATACGAAGATAGTGGTTGTGAAGGGGTCGAGATAGATCTAATAGACAGCTATAGTACAAACTGTCTGCGCCCCATCCAAAGCACCCATTAAAAGTTCAGCAGCGTATGCACATGCTGCGTAGCACCTCCCTTTCCTTCTACTAGAAAAGCGTATCGAAAAGTGGTATAGTACAGAATCATTCGCGCATGTAAGCGTTAAGGGCGTTAGAAAGGGAAAAACTCCCAAAGAACAGAACACCTTGGGGACCACTAGATGATCAGGATATACCACGAAATTCCCAATGATGCTTCTCCGTTCCATGCTAGAAATATGTTGTGCGCCGTATGTGAAAATTTATGCACCCTGATTAGTTATGAAATGGCTGGCGAGAAGCTCGTCAGCACTGGGACGCTTCTCGTGATCGATGAGGAAGGTCTGGGCCAGGAAGGTTCGAGCATCGTCGCCAGCGTTGTCTGGAATGGTAGGGCTGGCATCACCACTACCACCGATCTTAAAGATGGCTTGCAGTTGAGTGCAGTTGGGATGCGGGTGGCTTCCCGTAAACATCTCGACAACCAGGCAGCCGAGCGACCAGATATCGGCTTTGCGGGTGTAGGCTGTCTGTCGAACGACTTCTGGTGCCATCCAGAAGACTGAACCTTGAAGGGAGACGCGCTGAGCTCCCTTCTTGCCGCCACCCAGTGTAGAGGCTTCAATGCGCTTGGAGATACCGAAGTCGGAAATCTTGACTGAGCCCTTGTTGTCGACGAGGATGTTTGCACCCTTGATGTCGCGATGGATGATATCCCGGGAGTGAAGGTACGAAAGACCGGTCAGAATCTGGCGTACGAAGTTCTGGATGAGGGATTCGCCGAGCGGGCCGTAGTTCACCAGCATGGTTGCCACGGAACCACCTGGGACGTACTCGAGGAAAATGTTGAGATGGCTCTCATCTGAGTTGGAGCCAAGGTACTGCACGATGTTCTTGTGCTTGAGTTCTCGTAGCAGGCCGATCTCGTGTTTCAGGGCTTCCACCATGTTTGTCTTCCTGCTGTCCATCTGGGAGGCGCCAGCTACAGAAGGAAGCTCGACCTGCTTGACGGCCATGAGCTCACCGGTGACGGCATGTAGGGCAAGGTAAACGCTGCCGAAAGAACCTTGTCCGATGAGAGCTCCCTTCATGTACTTGACGTTGTCCCAGGAGTCCTGTTCGAGATACTCGGCCAGTTCATCGTCTGACTCTTCGCCATCCTCAGCAATGGCCTCAGAAAGGCGTTTGTTGAGTGAGTCGCCGTTCTCGGTGTTGCTGCTACTGCTACCCGTAAGGCTGCTACCCCCGTCGTCGAAGTAGGATTGTAGAGTGGTGTTGCCCTCCGGGTCTGTAATGGCAAGGGTATCCGATTCACCACCAAACGACACATATGATTTTCGGTTGGGTTCGAGAGGTGACTCCTCGTCTAGAGGTTCCAGAACAGAAGATGCCATAGAGTCACGGTACCCAGATTGGTTGGGCAGACCAAGTCGCATGACCGAAAGTGGGCGAAGTGGGCGGGCTTGAGCACCACCTTGGAGCCAAGTGTCGGCGATGGATGGTAGTGGCGGCGCATCCTTCAGGCTGGAAGCAACGCTGAAGTTGGATGCCATCGATAGACGCGAGGCTGCGCGGCTGAGTCGGTGAGAGCGACGTATCGACATGCGGACGGTCTTGTCAATCTCATCTTTTCCGACGTCAGGGAAGTAGGAGGTCAGGTCGGATGTAATGAGCTCGCTGGGAGGTCGAGCACCGTAGAACTGCTTTAGTTTCCGGGCACGAGCTTGGAAGACTGGTGACCTGTTTGGATCAGAGGGTCCTTCCAGATTCTGGGCTGTTGAGTTGATGTGGCGTTCTCGTTCTCTCGCGGATGTTGGTGATAGAGGGTAGCTGACAGCAGCAAGCGACTCGCCCGTGAGCTTCTCAATCTTGATCTGGCTGCGGTTGCTTGACGGTACGTAGACGGTGGAACTCTGCTGGAAGTTCTGTTGCGCGTAGATGCCAGCCGCAGCCTTCAGTTGGTCTTCATCCGGCTCACCAGCGTGAACCTTGCGAAGTATTAACCGGCCTCTTTCGTGTCTGTTGGCATCCTTGACGAGTCTGAAGAGCTCGATGTCACTCAAGCGTTCAGATAGCGATGGGTCTGGCTCTGGGCTGTTGAGAATGTAGAAGCAGTAGTTCTTGACATGGGCGGTGTTGAGGTGGCCCTTGGTCAGGGTCTTCAGCATGACCTCCTCGGCCGTCTTGCAGCCTTCGATGTTCACGACTGAGGTGCGTCCGCCATCGTAGATAACACGGACTAGCGCCTTGTCGTGTGGCAAGATGGCGCTGTTGGTGGCACTGTCCACGCTAGGACTCGCACGAACGTGGTGGGCGAAGCGGGCTGTCTGTGGTGTTTCGGTGGGTGTAGTGCGTTGGTTGCGCGAGAACTGGGAAGCGATGTTGACGGAGCTGCTGGAAGCACTGAGGGGATGCGCGCCGTATGTCTTGTTGCCAAGCTCCTTGGGGCTGTTCATTCCTCCCTGCCGTTGTGACCGAAGGTTCCGGGTCTCTTGGTCGACAAGAGGAGACGCGGGACGCGAGGGAGGTTTGGCACCGTATGCGAAGCTGCTCAGGTCGGAGTTCATGATCTGTCTCGACATGCGCTTCTCGGTCCGCGAGCTGACGGGATTCGAGTTGGAGACGGGAGGATTCGATCGTGCAGAGTAGAGCGGGCGGGGAGAGCCAGAGGATGGCGGAGTGTATGCGGCGTTGTCGAGCGTGGCTAGCGATTGCCTATTTGATGTGCGTCTTGAGGCTTTCTTGTACTCCTTGTTGCGCAGCTGCTTGGCTTGCGAGCCGATGCGGACGCGGTCGCCGACCTTCTTGATGCCCATGTCCTTGAGGTGGGTCTGGTCCATCTCCATGAGGTTCTCGCCGTTGATGTGGTTGTCTGGGGATGTCAGTGGTCGCTAGCATGATGGGCTTGGTGACATACGCTTGAAGAGGTCGACATACTGGGCGCAGTTGATGCGCTTCAGCCAGTCACCAACTTTGTCCTCGTCCCAATGTCTGTCCATGTTAGTGATGGACATGTGGCTGGCAGCTGTGAGGCTCACCTGATGGCGTCGGGAGCGTCGTATATCTCCGAGAACTCTGACTCGGTGGGAGAAGCAAACATGGACTGCTCGGCCCGTGTATTTGAGGCATGGCTGCGGTAGCCGGAGAGGCCGCCGTTGTATTGGGCGGACGACTGCGAGGCACTCCCACTCATCGAGGGCGCGGGATACGGAGACTTTGCGGCGAGCATGGCCATGTGTGCGGGTGTTCGATGTTCAAGAGTGGTAGACTAATTAGGTAGGAGGTAGGGCGGTTGTCGTACGTCGGTCGGTCGGTCTGTTCACGCTATCTCATATATGCATTATGGTTGCTACGCGTGCCAGGATAGAAGAGGGTCGTAAACAGAGGGCGCTGCGGAATGTAGGGTGTGGTAGGATGCGGTGTTGGCTGCGGGTCTCCGGCGTCGTGGAGTTGGGGTGGGTTGCGGGCGGACGGCCTTGTCTTTGTGGAATGGGGGTTTCGGGCTTCTTTATTGCGGCGTACACGGGCGCCCGGGATGCTGGCTCGGAGAGGTCGACGAGGGCAGAAACAAGACGCGGGCTCGAAACAGAGGATGATCCCGTCGTCTGCTGAGGGCCAGCGCGAGCGCGGAGACACCTTTTGCCATGGCTCCAAGCCTGAAACGCTAGCGGGTTTGGGGTCACGGCACTCCGCCAATCGCACGCGCCCCAACTCGGCGCTGCCACTGACGGCGCGCCCACACGGCATTGTCGCTATCAGCGCACCCAGCGACACACGACAGTCACTCAAGTAGCCTCCCGCGCCCTCATCAAAGACGCGTGTTGAGCTTCATGCACCCGTTGCTTTGCACGCAGCCGTCGATCGTCGCGTGTTGGGCCAGCGGGCGCTTGTATGCATGGGGCTCCGGCGCCGTTAGCGACTAGCCCGCATCTGCCTCACCGCAGACCGACTTAATATAATCTTGGCCGCCTCGCAAAGATGTTCAGGGACTGCCTCGCCAGCTGGAAATAGTTGCAGGCCCTGTATCCATCCCGGTACCTGTCACTTGTCATCTATCTGCCATTCTGCTCGACCTCGTGTTTCTGTTTGCTGACTCTGCCTGGCGCGTTACAGACCGCTGCAACGCGTGGACAGGCAACATGAAGATAACTGGCGCCTACGCATGCTGTGCTGCTTCACTGGTTCTGCGCCTGTTCTCACGCACACTGTCTCACTTCAGCCGCCTCACTGCTCGTCACTCGCGCCCCACCGGCACCGTACTGTGGGAACTTGAACAGATCACCTACTACAATACACAATAGAGAGCAACAAGAATTTATTATTCATGCTAGTCTAGGATATAGACACGTGCAGTGCGAATATCAATGCTATGTCTGAACTTGCTTTATTTGTAGTACAGGTCGTGTTCGGCTCCTCTTGTATGAGCCCGTAACCGCCCCGATGCGCATAAGCCGGCCGTCTGATAAGGCGTCCTCATGCCACCGGCTCGGCACCCCTTTTGCGCTGTTTCTCATAAGGTAGACGGGGATGAATGGGTTGACTGTCATGCCGTGACCTGCGCGCAGTGGCCAGCAGCTGGCAGCGCCGTGTGGTTGAAACAAAAGGCATGCAAACGAGCGGAACATGGCCGTCACTGACAGCTGTCGCTACCGCGCTCAACGTGCGCTAGAAATGACGACTACTAAACCAAACAAACATAATTACCGCCAGTCCGCGCTCATCGTGCCCCCAATCCTATGCCCCAATCCTCTGCTCCTGAAGATCCTCTGCCTGTCCTGAAGATCCTGCCCGTCTCTGCCCCTCGGCTGGGGTCGACTGCAAATAGACGTGATGACGTCCTGCTATTCCCAGGCCTGCGTATGACGCAGCACTCGCCCTGCACCCAGCCTGCGGTGCGGCACGTCGACGGCACTGCACGTAGAACATGGCCTTTCACAGCCAGTCAAACCCCCTTCAAGACACGCTTGTCCGACCTGCTGCTTGTTGCCCTCCTCACACTCCCTCTGCCCAGGGTATCGCTGCCTTAGAAAACGAAAAGCCCGCAATCCACCGGGCTGAGCCGTGTTTGTCACCACAGCCTTTCTGCCAACGTCTTCTTTCTTCCGTGCCCACATCTCCATTTTGCTAGTCCTCTCCAGCAACCTGTCACTGTCGCGCGTGCATGGGATTTCTGCAATAGCAGCAGCACCTATTCGCTGCGCTCCACAAACGGTCGCCTACTCGACAACTCTCACCTCGCAACGTCATACTGCAGGGGCTCCCGAGCGCCTGCCATTGGGCTCCAGCATGGCCTACCGCGACCAACCCGACCCTCACCACGCTTCCTACGTATCGCCCTTTGACAAACAATACTACGACCGCGGGAGAAGCCCCGACTATGGCACAAGACCCAAGTCTCGCACTGGCACCAATGCCTCCGACTCTCAGCCTCGTGACTCCAGTCCTGCCTGGGACCGCCGCAGTTTCGACAGTGGCTCGCAGCCCATCCAGCAGCCACTGAAGAATGCCATCGGACATGCCTTCGACAAGTCTGATGCTGCGCGCGTTGTCGACCCAGATCTCATTGCTCAGATTACGGAGCAAGTGAAGAGGTCCGTCTTGGACGAGATCAAATCAAGCGGCATGGCTGGTGCTACACAAGCACAAAACATTCCCGTCTCCCCGCAGCAATGGGTCCCGCCCTCGCCAGTGTCGACATCCAACTCGATTCCGCCTCGAGACGTGTACACCCCGCCATCTCCAAAGCGCACCGACTTTCCAAGCCAGCAGTCTCCCGAGCGCGACCCTTTGTATCGCGACCCACTGCTGGATGGCAATAGCGACCTGCCTACCCCGCGTCCTGAGCGAAGCGCACCAGTAGAGCGAGAACGGCCATCTGCGCGACCGGGCCCCGCGCCCAGGATGATGACCGAAGACTATACCCCGATCGAGAAGATGTGGCAGCGACTGTTCGAGCCAGACGGTCAGCCTTTGCCTCGCCTTGGCCAGCTCTTGCGTGGACTGGCTCTGCACTTGGTGCGTATTCAGGATGACGGAGAGATCATGCGCTAACGACAATATAGATCGAAGACTACGAACCCAAGCACAGTCTGGTCATCTCCCCGGCCAAGATGCTCAAGTTCTATGAGGAGGTCAAGCTCAAAGATGAAATCTATCCATGGCAAAGTAAGCAGGCGCATGCTCATGCTCTCAACACATGCTAATATATGCAGCCATCTTTGGAGACCTCTCGTATTCCGCTCTTTCCAAAGTATACCGCGACATGCGATGCCAGCACCATCTCATCCAAGAACATCCCGCAGAAGCGCCTTACATCCCTGCGCTTACTCCCGAAGGCTTCCAGGAATGGATGACGACCATGATCCAGGCATATCCCGACACAGAGTACGAACGATTAGTAAAGGCCATCTTGGACATGCCGATCAGCAACGCAGACGATCGGAAGGAACGGTTCCCGAAAGAACTTCCTCGTAGGATGTTCCCGACCATCGAGAACCTACACGCGCAGCAAAGATGCGCTGCAGCCTTGTCCGCTGAGGGTGTTGGGCCGCTTCGTAAGGCACCTACCTTCCCACCGCCGCCGCCCAAGACCCAAGCCCCTCCCCCAGGGCCCAGTCTTGAACGCGAACGTAGTCCATATTCCTCGAGGCCCGAAGTGAGGCCAATGGACTTTGAAGATGAGCCAATGTCTACATCCGTACCTATCGAGCGGGAGCGCAAGCCTTACTCAGCCGCTCCTGGTGGCGGAAAATCCTATACCGAAGACATGAGCTCCAGCACCTACTCTGATACTTCCGCCAACGAGAAGCGTCGACGCGCGCAATCGAATGCCGGTCAGGGACCGTGGGGTCCTCCTCCTACGGACGCTCACTACCACCAGCAGCCACCTCCCCCTCGTGGCCCGAACGTCCGGCCGCGAAGCCCAAGCTTCTCCAACTTCGGCACTCAGTCTGATCCCACGGTGCGCGATATCCCCAGCAACTACTACGCTTCCAACATGCACAATCCCGCAGATGATCCCCATCGCCGCCGGGAATCTGATAACAAGAGGCACACCCGCCAACGAAGCGGTACCAATGGCATGGGTGCATCTTTCGACTCTCAGGCCCGATCGGTGTACGACGACGATGATTACCCGCGATCGAGGTGGAACTAGGGAAGATGAGAAAACATGCTACGACTACACCTGTCGCTACTAGTCTGTCACATTGCTAGATGACGGGCTCGCATTGCGCCCACCGAATTTATGACTTTACGACATATACCCCGAGTTCCCCGGTCGTTGCAGGTATTTCTTTTCTGCTTTCGGTGTATATCTGGTTTAGGAAGAAGTCGTGTTGTTTTTGAGAATCTGTAATGGTTTCGTCACATACCCTGTTTTGCTGTTACCATCTCCTTGCCTGGTTATTTTGTCGAAAAGGACGGTCGCTGTACAATATACTGCGCAGGCTTTTTGGAAAAACTTGACACCTGCTCTTGCCGTTACCATCTCGCGATGCAAAGTCACTCAATTCATGAAATATAAAAGCCAATCCCACATATACATATTACTTGGATAGTCGAAGTTGGTATAAAGGACATGTGCATTTCAACACTTTCCTCTCATCCATACACCATTCTGCTGTTCTGACCCCTCCTCTTCTACTTAGCTTCCTCGTCCTTCTTTCCCCTACCCTCATTCTTCGCCTTAGTACTAGCCAACTTCCCAACCCACCGACAGATCCCCACACCCATCTTCACGGCCTTGGCGCGATGTGTCTTTGCCAGCCGTGCTTCTTCTTCTTTGTCGAGATCAGACATGGACTTCAGCTGCTGTTGTGGCAGTATGTCTGTGAAGTCTTGGGCTGGTTTTGCTGATGATGAGGACTGCGACATGTTTCCAGCTGGAGAAGTTGCAGATTGGGTGGAGTGAGTAGAGTGAGCTGAGTGAGTGGTACGAGTGCTATGTTGATAAGAAGAAGGGTATCGCGGTATAGTTTCTCGGTGAGGAGTAGCGCCAAACTGGATGTGAGAATGTGCTGCAGGTGCGGTGGAGGTGTTAGACGACATGATGAGTAGTGGTTGAAGAGTTGTACTGACTAGCAATGGGCTGTTGGAAGCCTTCTCTTTGTGGTTGCTTTGATTGTCGTTAACTACAGCAAACAATGTTTAGTAGATGAACGGGAACAAGGGAATATGTCTTGGGGAAAGGGAGGTGGGTGAACGACTTTCTTGTTGTATCAGCTGTGTGAATGCATGTATTACTTGTACGCGTACACACACAGCTATATTTGTTGTGAAAGTGAAAAGGGCCTCCTCTGTGGCTGGTCATCTTATCCCAATGAAATGTGTGGCGGTGCGCGAGAAAGTTCACTTGTTTAAGCTTTTTGGTACGAAAAGACGTTGTACGAGGTGTAGAGAACTGCGTGTCCTCGGTCACACTTCGTTGCTTTTGGTGGTACTATGTTGCTTGGCTAGTGACTACACGACGTAAATAGATGTTCTGACATGGAAGAAAACGAAACTCCTTCGACTACAACGCCCCATCTTTATGTTTCTATATGATCGAATGTTACCAAGATTGACTGGGGCTGGCTATACCTTCCCGTAGTTCGAGGAAGTTCCTGAACTCAAGGTATTCGTTGTACTCTTCTTGAAACTGTCGGCGGGTGTCCATACGCTGTCGCGATCGTTCCATTCTTCTTGTCTTCGAGAAGTCTAACCGAGCGAGATGTCAGACTGTGGTATTACATAGCAAGGAAGTAGGCTGGTACTGCTGGATATGTTGGTCACTTACATCTGAATGGCTTGCATAACCACTGCCGCAGCTGGGGCGAGGAGATCAGTCCAAGCAAGATGCCGACCACAGCTACACAGACGCCGATCAACGTGAAGATGACCTCATTGGACCAGACGGTCGATGGATGCTCGGTGGAAACGGTCGCTTGTCGATGTAATATTGTGTGCAGCGTTGGGAATGCGATGCCATTTGCTGGGAACGCGAGTAAGAAGAGTAGGTATGGGTATGGGCATGCCATGTTGATTGTAACGACAGGGTGATGGTAGTGGTAATATAAAGGAATGGCTGACGATGGTTCGAGTAGAGATGTTCAGAGCTTGGGTGGACATTGTTTGACCTGCTGGGAGACAATCCCTTTTATTGCGACGCAGGCTTCGAGCACGTACATTTTCTGGGTTATATCCACAAGACGGTCTCTCGTCCTGACCGGTCCAGGACGAGCTTAAACGAGAAGGCGCGCGCGCGGTTCAACAGGATCAGTGCTACATCAATCACGTGAATGGCGTCGTTGCATCCTTCCAACGGCTTGTATGATGGGTGATTGGCTGGTCTTTGCGGCGGTACAACGTGAAAGTTAAAAGAAATGGTCGCATTACTTAGCGCATCGTTGCCCGCATGTAAACGGCGCAGGGTTTATGGAAGCGAGACTTCCACGCTACTCCAAACATGAGACCCATAAAAGGATCGACGCCGATCGACCTCCTTTGAGCTCCCGAACCCCCCGGAGCTTGTGTTGCGCCTTGCGCCCGGTCCACCGCCCACTACACCATCCTCGCCAGACTCTCCTTTGGGTGAGCGCGTCTGCTGTGGTCTGCATCCACCGCTCTGTAATGGTTTCGAAGATCGCAGGCTTCGTATATTCGCTGTCATGTCGAAGCTCACGGGCCTTGCGCCCGGTCCACCACCCACTACACCATCCCCGCCAGGCTCTCTGTTCAGTGAACGTTTCTGCTGTGGCCTGCACGCGCCCTGTAGCCGATCCAGAAATCGGAGGCTTGTGGAGCTCAAGTAGCCTCCTCAGCCGGAGCTGTTACCGAAGGGTGACGTGGTGATGCTGCGCCTCTTCCCTTGCTGCCCAGAGTCTAACATCTATTGCTGATAGCACTCAATGCTTTGCAGAAGGTTATGAAGTCCAGTGTCCTTGAGACGTGATTAGTTCTTAAGTGAGGTTGGAAGATAGTAGTCTCCAGAAAGCAAAGAGCACTGATCGAGATCCACCTGCGCCATCTGTTTATTTGGTGTACAGGAGCCGCGAAGCATTGGATTGCCTCAGCCAAGATAAGCTAAGCCAGGGATGTCTGGAGGAGGTGGAGACATGCAGTTGTCCATATCTTGTTGATGCCTCCCAGTATTATGGTTGAAGACTCGGAGTCCTGACCACTCGTTATCAACAGCAGATTTGTGGCTTGATGAGTATTATGTGAACCATGCTAAGGAGTCAAGGACATGCAACACCCCACTATAATAGGTTCAAACATCTCATTATGGCAAGGCGCGACCTCGCTGTCCAGCAGCCATATGCAACATCGTCGAATTTTGCTCAGGTGTATGGAAAGACAGAAAGAACACCAATGACAAGAGCGTGGTGATGGAGTTTGGAAGTTGTATATGGATCGATTATACCCAATACACACAGATCGCTTGCTGGGAAGGCCGAGAATGTAAATCATCGAAAGACTGAGAGACGACCAGAAGTTTCAGGTCCCTAAACACACAGGCTAGCTATGTGGAGAGCAGATTTGGGGCGATTCTGATTGCTCGAGCAAATGAACCGGGCCTTGCAGTCGTTAGGATCCTTGATCGCATGTTTGCTTGTGACAAGGCTGCACAAGGCTGTGTAGCCGAATGTCCATGTTGAAGCCGTGAGTCCAAAACGGTTACATTCGTTCAGACGAGGTTTTCGTATGTCATGTACATTTCTGAGATTGAAACCTGCGCATGCCAAAACCCTCCGTTTATAGTCTCTCAAATAGCGGCACACGGCTGGTCGTCGGTTTCGACCTACCAGACTTGCCGACAGTCGGTATAAGCTCTTCGTCCGGAACATAGTCCTTAAAGTCGTCGTGGACGCTGTCCCTAACATCCACCTGATTCCGATCTCTTGACTTCCACCTGGGCGCCTCTCCATTCTCAGCCCGACCAACACCCATCTCTCTCCACTTCTTCGGTGGCTTGACGCCCATCTCTACTAAGTTGGACCATATCCTCTCTCCGCGCTTGTTCCACCTCTCCATCCTCGCTTCGTATTCTGCATCGGAGGGTTGCCACTTGCTCTTCAGTATGCGGCGGATGGCTTCGGGCGAGACTTTGAAGTGTTGCGCGAGGACGGGTGTAGTGAATTTATCGGGTTGTGTGCTGTGCAGATGCCGTATGCCTTCCATCGTGTCGGGCGACAACTTCTTGCGCGGGCTCCATGCCTCGCCTCCCAGCTTCTCTTTCAGCGCTTCCTTTTGTACAGCCCACGCTGGGCGCTCGCGCCTTCGTTCTCGTTCGAACTCTCCCGTGAGAGCATCTTCTATCTCGGCCTGTTTTGGTTCCGCTATTTGTGGTTCGGCGGTGGGTATTATAGGCCCTACTTTGCGTAGTCGGCGCGCATCGGTCGAGAACCGCGATTGTTGCGGACGGAGTAGCGGTCGTCGAGCAACGAGGATTTGCTCGGTGTTTACGAAGGAGCGGATGAACAGGGTCAGCGTCGTTCTGGCGCAATTGTGGCAGCTCATGGTTGTTGGTGTTTGAGTATCGATAGTGCTTTCCTTCCGAAGTTCCTTAGGCTATCGCACGGACCTTCACCTCTTGCCACAGGCGGGCGACTAACATGCACTCTAACACTAACATCACAGTCATAGACTTGTAAACCGAATGTTTCAATGTGTCAAGGCGACGACACTAACGAATAAAAAGTTTCCACGTCTTTTCTTGGAACCAAGATTCGCTCACGTCGCTGCTACTCCCGGAGCAGGAGCCTCATTTTATCGCATGACACACCCTCAGGGCTCATACCCAATATCTTTGGGAAGTCGGAAAGGAATACGAACATTGCTGCTTGGCAATGATAGCAGTGCCTGCAAGAGCTCATGCGACAATCCCGATGATCTCCTCCCTTTTTATTTTCGGTCCTTCCTTACCTGGCGCACTACACGAACAGCTTGAGCCTGTCTTTCATTCCTCTTACTCATAAAGCTCTACCATTTTACTGTCCTCTATTCATCTTGATATCCCTCGATCCCCTACTTCTTCAAGCAACTTTCGGTCTCTCCTGGTCCCATGAACCGAACAACAGCCTCGTCAGTGTACTGCTTCGGCCCCCAAAGCCAAGACAACACCTCGCTTCCTGCGACCAGCTCTCGTCAATTCGAACCGTTTTCAGCTTCACCCATGTACAGACAAGATTGTAAAATTCTCCGCAGACATACCGAGCGGCTGCTGAACAAGTGACGGTAGCTGTTACAAGGCTGAGAACTGCGGCTGACTCGAATGGCTTTTTCCATTGGCCGGAAATTACTCCCAAGCAACGGAAGGCTTTCGCTAATGTGAACGGTGTGCTACAACGTCCTTGACTTCATCCCCAAATGTAGAACGTTGTGCAGGGCGCGGTGCGCCTTCGGTGAAAGTCGTGCTATTGAGGGATGGCAATTCGGCGACCATTCCATACAGCATATCATAAAGAGCACCATGGCAGTTCAAATATGTGCTTACTTCCTCCCATTTTCTAGCAGTCATCTCCAAATCATCCTATCTTGGGCTTTTCTAGTTCTTCTTCGGCAACAAACAGTCGAGTTTTCCCAAGATGACTATACGACACCGCGAACTCTTCACCATGGCACTCATCGGAGTCTATCTTACATTCGCGGCAGACGCATTCCCGACCGATCTCCACATGTCGAGCACCGAGCCACGCGACCTCGTAACTACAGACGCGAAGAACCTCAGAGAGCACATCGAAGTTTACGGCATACCGTATGGAGTCCTCGGCGCAGTGTCCCATGGCCTAACCTTCTACGTGATTCTCTGTCACTTCTTCGGCAGAAGACCTTTGCTCCCGTGGATGGCTTTGGAAAAAGAACGCTGGAATATCGCGGTGGTCACAATCTCATCGCTCATCTCGATCATCCTTTCTGGCGTTACGATGGCTCGCACAAAGGGCTCCCGTCCCCTGCTCATACTTGCGGGAATGCAAATTGTCCTCCATGCTCTGATAGATATCATCCACATACATCGCATGTGCGTTGGACATTCTGGTTGGAGTAATTCGACATCCTTTTGGGGGATCCCTCTCGTAGTGGTGTCGTGCTTCTCCATATATGCCTTTTACGAGTTTCCCTGTAAGTTGCGCTGAGTTCATCTGCGTGCAAGGTAGACTGACACCACTCCACAGTCGAAGAAGGCGATGGCGATGTCGGAAGCCTTTTCGGTACTGCCATCTTTATTGTCCTACTTGTGTGGATTGGCTTGACTGGATTGAAAACCTTGGTCGGCATCTTGATATGCTTTATGTCCAAGTTCAAGAATTGTGCGACATTTGGTGTTGCGATGGTCCTGCTCAGCTGCGGGCTCTTCTGGTTCGGTGATTTCGGCATGGCCATCGTGAGCAGGAGTACGCTGGGGACGCCGTCAAAGCAAGTCGCGGCACTGTATTACACGTACTGGGTTGTGGAGAGGCTCCCGCTATTCACATTCTAAGATGCATGTCGACGGCACGGTGGCTATCACAAATAATGTAGTTGTAGCATTCGTTGGTAGGAAGGATGCGTTCTGTTTAACCTAGCACTAGGTGTAACGCTATGTCGAAACCGGCTCGCTCTTGCGGCTTCGAAATCTGATCCGCACTAGTACGCGACGGAGTGGTGACATCAACGAACATGCGTCAGTGCCTCCTGCGTCTTCACGCTATCTCGACAGCGAAGTCTTCCGTGGCAGTTTCCTCGCAAGATCGATCGCGGGGCGATCGCGGCAAAAATGGAAGTGGATCCCCTCATACCCATGCGCGCTAGGGCCTCGGTATCATATGACGGACCATCTTCGCCGTACATCGTGTAATGATTATCTCTTGTCGAATATCTGAGTGTTTGACAGAGTCGACGTCGTTCACCTGTGTTTCTCTCTCATTTACTTGAATATGGCTATGCCAAATATGTTCCAGAGGCGAACAGCCAACACTAAAGAGTACGTCCAGAAGCGGAAGACGATCGATGGCGCACACTAACCGCTATCAGCTGCTGGGGATACCGATTCGAATGGACGCCTGAACATCTTACACCGGAGCAAATGAAGCCTATGAAGTTTTCGTACGATGTACTAGCAGAGGAATGTCTGGATCGTTTGAACGCCATCTCGCCACCGCACAAGGGTGCTCTGCCAAGGAACGATAGCAACCGCGCCGCGCTATCATCAGTTCCGGGCACCGAAGAAGAGAAAAAAGAGCCATTGCCAGTACCCAAGAGGGATCTCTACGCGTTGCTGGAAGAGAATCACAACTCCGATCCTAAGCTTGCCGAACTGTGGCGCGAGGTGCACACCGTACCGGACTGGGTGGATTGGGAACAGATCGCAAGAGGACAGGATGTGTTCTATCGCTATGGCGGACCCGCCTTGACTGGTCTCACTTTTCAATCACTCTTGGGTGGCATGGGCGCTGCGCGAGTGGTTGAGACATTAGCCAGAACAGGAGGCTTCAGCACAAAGGTAGCAAGAGGCAGACTGTTTGAAACTACACAGCACATCCTCCAATGCACACGGACACTGGATGGACTCAAACCAGGTGGAGAGGGTTTCGCCTCATCGATCCGTGTCCGCTTCCTACACGCCGCGGTCCGGCAGCGCATTATGAAACTCGCAAAAGAACGCCCAAGCTACTTCAACGTGGAAGAATGGGGAATACCAATCAACGACCTCGACCAAATCGCAACAATCGGAACCTTCTCTTCAACTCTGATCTACCTCAGCTTCCCCCGCCAAGGCATCTTCCTCCGCAAACAAGAAATCGACGACTACCTAGCCCTATGGCGCTACATCGGCTACCTAATGGGCACACCCGACGAATGGCTATCCACCCCAACAAAAGCCAAAGCCATCATGGAATCGCTCCTCTACCACGAGGTCGACCCCTCGGAAATGTCCAAAACGATGGCCAACAACATCATTTATGCGCTCAAAGAAGAGCCCCCAACTTTCTCGTCCGCAGATATGCTAACCGCCAGCGCCCGCTGGCTAAATGGCAACGCACTCTGCGACCGCCTCGGCCTAAAACGCGTTTCCGCATACTACTGGTCCCTCATGGCAGGCCAATGTCTCTTCTTCATCTTCTACTGCTACACATACAGCCTGTTTCCCAATGCAGATCGCAGGAGGATCGACCGCGCGAAAGAAATCTTCTGGACGCTGATAGTGAAGGCGAAGTGGGGGTTGGCGGGGACGGAAACGTCGTTTGACTTCAAGTACGTGCCGCAGTATGATACGTTAACGCATCTGGGTAATATCGGAGAGAGAAAGAAGGTGGCGTTGAGCAATGAGATGAGGAATTTGAAGGCGTTGGGGATTGGAGTGGGGGTTTTGGCGGTGGGCACGTTGGTTGCGGTTAAGATTGCGGTAAGGGTTGTTGGGACATTATGGTAGATGCTCTTGTAGAGGGTTTGTACGATATTGATATGATGGGTTAAGGGCTCTGTTATTAGACTCAAGGTTAGACGAAAATACCCAGGTGAAGTTACTGGTTACTTCTGTCTTGCCTCACCTTCTCATCCAGCTTTATTACAGTAAGAGGTTCACTCACCCTCAAGTTGTTGCGTAAGGTCACCGCCGTTGTACACGCACAAGCAACCTCCACTGGCCATGGCCTCATCAAATATAAGTTCACGTCTTCGTCTCTATCTTCTGTCCTTACTAATCTCGATCACAATAACAACACAACTTCAGTGTGAGCTCACACTTGGCACAATCTAACACATACCGACACCAAAATGGCAAAACGCAAGTGTCCCCGAAACCCAGAACAAGACGGTGTATGCGGCTGCCCTTCATTCTGGAGGTACCTGAAAGCCAGTGCCGCGCCCAACAACAAGACCATGTCTTCCCCACCTACCAAGTCTTCGTCCCCAATTCTTGTCATCATTGAGAGTGAACGTGACGAAGACAAAGACTTGCATCACCGGAAGCGACAGAAACGCGAAGACAGTGTAATCACACAGACTGGTGTGATTGGCCTCTCAGCATCAGAGTCTCAGGCGTACATGGCCAGCAAGTATGTGGCCGGAGAGTCCGATAGGAAGATACAACATGTTATGGAGGCGGCGCGGCGCGCGCAGAAGAGTCGCCGGGCGGAGAAGGAAAAAGCGAAACCAATCAGACCGGTGCAGATTCTGGTCGACTATAGCTTACCTACTGGTCCTGAGAGGCTGGATTGGGACACGGACGAAGTTCGTCGGATGGTCGGGGAGATTGCTTGATGGAGGCTGTGGTGAATGGAATTGGACCACGGCGACGGGTATGGAAGATTCATCGGAAAGGGTGCGGTAGCAAAGGTCATGAAACAACAATTCATATACATTCTAGTATGTGGGTATAGGTACTGCCTAGCGGAGATTTTGCGAAGGGTATGCAAGGATATGAGAGTCGTAAACATTGCGAGTATGTTCAGTTGTCACCAAACGTACGGCTAAGCCGATGTCAGTAATTGATCCGCGGGTGGGGTGTGAGGGACTGACCTTATTCTCATACGTCCAGAAAGTGCCGCTGTGCTGTATGCCTTTGCTCTTGATCACTTCGATCATCTTCATCACTGACTCCTCTGGTGTGATTATGCCCTGGACTTCCCACGGTAGCTGAACGTTCGCCATGTCTGTTGCGACTTCTCCCGGGTGCATGCACAAGATGATGGTATCATCGTCTTTTCTCTTCAACTCGGCGGCCATGTGCCTTACTGCCATATTGAGTGCAGCTTTTGACGCAGCATATGCAGCGAACCCGTCCTCCATCTCCCGGAAGTTACCTTGCGAGCCCGAGTCGCTAGACATGAAGACAATGGTGCCAATTGGTATGTTTGTTTTCAGCAACTTTTGCGCTGTGATGATGGGCCCAATGGTGTTGGTATGCAAATGGAAGGCAAACTCGTCGAAAGACCTAGAAAATATTAATTTCCAGTACTTCAGCCACTTCAGATTGATTGTCGTTTATTGGAAATGCACGCTTTAGCCATAACCAGCAAGGCGTAACGGCAACGGTAAAGGGAGACTCACAGCTCAGTGGCCCTCTACATCGGTTAGTGCGGCTCCCTTGCATGCTGGCGACAATGTCGGACTTACGTTTGGGTATCTTAGCACTCCTGCGTTTAGTACGACGTAGTCTATCTTCAGGTTCGGTATCATGGCCAGTTGCGCAACGAATTTCTGCGGATGGCCAGTTAGTTTCCCTCTGGAAAGACAAGGCCATCTTCAACAGCACACACCTCTATGCTTTGCTCTGACAATATGTCGCATGTGTACATTTGGCATCGGCCATGATCGCTCCCCGCTTGTCCCCACAGACCGCTGGCATGACCGGCCCAAGGCTCCCGCACAGTAGCGATGATGCGCTCATTCTTAGTTAACAGCTGTCTGACAAACTCTAGCCCTATGCCTCTGCTGGCGCCGAGTATCAGCCATGTGGTAAAGTCCTCATCGGCGTATAGAATGCCCGGAATCTGGTCCATCCGGTCGGTCGAGGTGTGGCGGGGCACGATGATGTCAACCGTCGAGCTGGGGCTGAAGTGCGACTGACCAACACTAGAAGGCTGTTTGCAAAGAGGGCAGAATAGTGTCGATCCTGGCCGGCGCTTGAAATAGTAATGTGCTGCTGTGCAGATAACAGAGAACGTTATTCATGACCCTGGCCCGTCATGTTAGGGAACCAGGTGCGTGGAGGTGCGCGGGTTAGTGGGCATGTCACATCGATTTGCGGACCCTTGTACAGGCTTCACATATCGAATTCGGGCCAGGGAAAGCAGGGAAGAAGCGTCCTGCAGGGCAACGAAATAGGCCAGACGCTGCTTATTCTACCACCGGAGGAAAGAAGAGCGAAATTCTTCACGATGATTGACGGCAGCAAAAGTACTAAAAGCAATCGCAGCAGCCAACGCAGCACTTGGTGACGGCATTATCCCGCAAGCCCCGTGCAAGATTGCCGAGTAAGTTGTGAGATAGCCTAGGGAGTCAGGAGTCGCAATGGACGGCGTGGCGTGAAAGCAGCGACGGCAAGTTGGCTGAGGAACAAGACCGCCATTTGATCGCGATTCCTGTTTGCCATCCCGGACCGGTTCCACCCGAGCACTTTTTGCTACTGAGTTATACCTGTCGCCTGATTGGCTAGTCCCGTGACCCGTGCTCGCGTCAGGGCCCTGGGCCCGTCATTTCGTCGCGGCTAACGGCAAGATTCTTAAAACTCTCTCAAGCCTCTCAACTCCTACTTGGCCATCTTTTCTCTCTCACAACCGCTCAGTTACGACTAGAGTTACATCAACTTTCACCACTCCACCTCCACCAACACTTAATCTTACCCCAACCACCACCACATCTTCAAAATGGGTTTCGAGCAGGGTACGTTTTCTTGACACCGGTTAGACGTCATCGGCTGTCTGTCACTTTGTCGACCATCGTCTGCTACCCATTGGGCCTGCGCGCATACCAATATCCGACTCCTATGAGAAATCAATTATTCCCGGTGTACCGTCCGAATAATTGAAAACTCAAGAAGCGGTGAGCGCAAGGTGGCAGCTTTGCGACAAAGGGCGGACGGTGGCGGATTGTTTGGCTGGGCAAAGAAATTTTGTCACGACATACAACTAACACTTTGCACAGGCGATGCTAAGAAGGGTGCCAACCTCTTCAAGGTACGAACACACCGAGCCGGCCTCAGCGCCATCGAACACGCCTTCCGAACGTAGTCTAACGAACCTCCAGACCCGCTGCGCTCAGTGCCACACCCTGAAGGAGGGCGAGGGCAACAAGATCGGCCCCAACCTACACGGTCTCTTCGGCCGCAAGTCCGGCCAGGTTGAGGGTTTCTCATACACCGACGCCAACAAGCAGAAGGGTGTCGAGTGGGGCAACGAGACTCTCGTACGTTATACCCCAAGAAGACGCTTATGTGGTGGGCATGCATGCTGACGAAGCACAGTTCGAGTACCTCGAGAACCCCAAGAAGTACATCCCCGGAACCAAGATGGCTTTCGGTGGTCTCAAGAAGCCCAAGGACCGCAACGACTTGATCACCTTCCTCCAGAACGAGACCAAATAAGCGTATCACCTCTCGAACGTTTATACCATCCTATCGACACGCCATGACCTTTCTATAATACCTTTTCGACCCAAAAACTGTTTGGATTGTACCATCATCGATGATAGACGAACGACGGAGGCGGTGAGCGCAGTTAGACCGCAATACCCCTTCATGTAGATTATGTTAGGTGTATCATTTCAAGGCGCTTTTCGACTTTGGTGCGGCATAGAGCCTGTTTGGACTTAGTTGCACTTTCGGAATACCAAATCTCCTCTACCGATCATTCAATACGCTCATCATCTTCCGTGAGCAAGTAGCCAACATCGTGCAACCCATAGTGATTCATTTCGATTTACTTCCAGCGACGGCAGAGTTGGTCAAAGCATCGGTTTCTTATCTCAGACTACAGACTTCCAGCTTATGATGAGCGAATTGCGTACATCGCAAATTTTCTGACACGTTGAGCGGCATTTCCACAAAATGTACAGACTAGAAGAATAGTCTAGTGCTAGCCTCTAGGGAGCGACTCACGCGAGCAGCGAGCACCTTGCATCCTCGGACCTGAGGAACATGCAGCCAGGAACATGCGCTCTACCGGTGCTTTCTCCGACAGCTAACCGAGGATAGTGTGGCTGGAGCTCGTGGGTGCTTGCGGAAGACTTGCAATGGCAACAACTCGTTTCGCTAGACAGCGTGGGTAGTAAAAGCAATGGGGACTCAAGAAACTAGACACATTGCGTCTCGTCAGCTGCGGGATGCCAGTAGTTAAAGTGTGAGGCTTCGTGGCGCCTTTTCCACATCATCTCCACGTGAAAGCAGGTCAAGTGTGGGGGAAGCGCAGGTGCTCGTCGCAGTGGTGTCATCGCCGGAAGACTCCGTGTACATCAGCCATCTAGTCTGTGTCATAGGGCACACGAGCACATGCGTCTCTCTTCCACTTCACTATTCTCTTTCTCAAATCGCTCCCCAGCATCCAGACGCGCCGTTACCTCGGCCTGTAGCAGCGAGACCAATTAGCGTCATAGTGGGGCGGGAACTGTGCTTCGGGTAGCTCGACAGTGAACACCACCATCACCAGCACCACTTTGGCGAATACGCAGCGACGAAGGCCGTTTCGGCCTGTACAATTGGCATCATGTCGTGGAAACGGAGCGAGAGGCTGATGGACACCATCAAGGTGGGCGAGCCTGTCGCACAGTCGCGGTTGTAGCTAACATTTGGATAGCACTACAGCAACTTTCCAGCAACCGGTATGCAGCACGCGTGGTCACTTACAGTATTCGTCTGACATACCACCAGGTGTCTCCTTACGGCAGATGGTACAATTTGGAGAGAAGCCATCTACGGGAACCCTCTTCCGCGCGTCACAATTCCTTTCTGAAGAACTGCCCATACGGTTAGCCCACCGAGTGGAGGAGCTCAACGAACTTCCAGATGGCCTCAATGAGATGCCCTCGATTCAAAGAGTGCGCGACTGGTATGCGCAGTCATTCGAAGTGTGTATTGCTAAGGTTCTCGCTGGAGCGCGTTGACTCATCTGACAGGAACTCGTCGAACTGCCCCGGCCGACCCTCTCGAGCGAGGTCAAGGAGCGACTCCTCAAACCAGCGAAGAAAGCCGGCGACAAGAGCCTGATGAGCAAGCCGACGCAGAACCCCAGCATCAAAACAGGACAATACCGTTCCGCGCCGACGACGAACGGCAACGGCAATGGCAACGGAAACGGCGGCACCATCACAAAAGAAGTGAAAGGCGCGAGCCGGAGATACTATGCCGCGGCAGACGACGGACAGGAATGGCCGCCAGAGCTGGGCGCATACAACACAAAGTTCGCAGACACATTGGAGAAGATCAAGAGGCGGCACGACAGCGTCGTTACGACGGTCGCACAGGGTATTCTCGAGTGGAAGCGCAAGAGGCAAAGGATGCAGATCGACCACAACATTCAAGCCTTCCTCGACCGTTTCTACATGTCGCGTATCGGTATCCGTATGCTCATCGGCCAGCACATCGCCCTCACAGACCAACGCTCGCGAAACGATCCCAACTACGTCGGTATAATCTGCACAAAGACCAATGTCCAAGAACTGGCTCAGGAGGCTATTGAGAATGCGCGTTTCGTCTGCGAGGACCACTACGGACTATTCGATGCGCCGAAGGTCCAGCTCGTATGCAACCCGGATATCAGCTTCATGTACGTGCCAGGACATTTGTCGCACATGCTCTTCGAGACTCTCAAGAACTCGCTGCGTGCTGTGGTGGAAAGACATGGACAGGACAAACAAGAGTTCCCCGTAACCAAGGTCATCGTTGCAGAGGGCAAGGAGGATATCACAATTAAGATTTCGGATGAAGGAGGCGGTATCCCACGATCATCGATCCCACTGGTATGGACATACATGTACACGACCGTCGACCAAACACCGAGCCTGGACCCCGACTTCAACAAGAGCGATTTCAAAGCACCCATGGCTGGATTCGGTTACGGGTTACCCATATCAAGGCTATACGCACGCTACTTTGGAGGAGATTTGAAGTTGATTTCTATGGAAGGGTAAGCCTCCCAACTCGTACCCCAAGATAATCTCGTCACTAACAACATCGGTCATAGATACGGCACAGATGTCTACCTCCACCTCAACCGCCTCTCCTCCTCCTCAGAACCTCTGCAATAGCAATTACCCGTCATGAGGGGCGGATGGACGTCGAGCGAACTCATCCGGTCATCCCGAGGAATGGCGCAAAGTAACGGTTCGCGAAAGTATAACCCTTTCCTGGCGAGCAAGGCGATGAAGCTCAAGCTGTCGGGTCAGGTCAGCAGGGAGATTAGTGAGAGGAGACAGGTGGGCGATGCGGCAGATATGTTTGCTGACAAGGCTAGTGGAGAGGATGGTAAGCCTTGGTGGAGGAATGTCGGTATGGAGGAGGGTATGTGAGATGTACGATTTTCGGTTTGGCAGATATCGTTCAGAGATGCGGTTGAAAGTTGAGGGGCAACAGATGGGCTTTGACATTGGCATTTTCCGCGACCTTTTGGTGAAAAGGTATCAATCGTTCTCTGGGTTCGGTCCGGCCTGGGCTGGCAAAGGCTTGGGCTTGAGCACCTAAGAAAGACACGGCGTTTGGCGAAGGCCATGTATGATCTTGGAACACAAATGAGAATAAGACGGAAGGAAGCAATAGTTACGCAACGCAAAATAGTAATGTTGTACGTCTTGCCATTGGAAACTTCCCTGATATGAACCAAAAGAGCTGGGGTATAACGCGATCCGCCTTAAATCCAAAGTAACGCCAAAGAATCTCACGATCAACTCACGACCTTCCGTCTAAGCAGTTCCTTGTCCTGAACTAACTCTCTTCCTCATCTTCGCGATATCCCTCTCTTTGCCCTTCCCACTCCTCGCTGGACTCCCACTCCCAGCCATACCCTGCCCTTCTGCAGCTCCACTTCCAGTACCTTGTACCTCCCACTCATCGTTCCAATCCGCAGGCGGTTGTGTGAGACCAAGGACGATGTTACGGTAGAACGCGCGCGTTTGGGGTACACTCTGTATCCACCACGAATTAGCAACCGATCTCCTCTCCAACTTGTGTGATCGTTGACGGGACATACCTCATTCCTCACCCCCGCAATCCACATGAGCATCTCCTCACTCTCTAGTATACTAACCGCCTCATCCCTCTTCTGCCTCTCCTCCCACGCCCTCCCCTGCGCTTCGCCAGAGAAAGAATTCCAATTCTTGCCCCGTGCCTGTATACTCTTCCGTGTTTCTAGCGTGGCTTTACTGGGAGCCTCCCCTTTACCAGCACTACTTCCTCCTGTTTGTGGTGATTGCCCATGTAGACGGTGCGCGCCGTACCCGCCGCTGCTGGAACCAGCACCGGTGAGTGTATCGTAGTCTAACGTGGTAGGGGGTCCAGTGAACTGGGCGTTGAAGGCGGCTTCTGATTCGATTTCGTCGTTGGTGATGGGTGCGTGGCCGCCGGTAGCGTGAGTGAACGAGGGCTGGTGCGCGTGGTGCTGGTTGTGGCTGTTTATGATTTGTTGCGCTTCGGCGATGAACTGGAGGTTTACGCCGCCGGGGTTGGGGGGTGGCCATGTCATGATCGCATTGCTGGGGTTTGAGCGGGAGATCTGGGATCTGAGGCGTTTACAGAACGGGTGTGTTGGTGCGATGCTGTGTATGTGCGATGCGGTCGGAGCTTGGTGTTTGGGTGGGGTTGCGGTGATGGTCAATGTCCGCGGGGGAGGCTGAGATGGGAAGGTGGCAGCGACGAGGCACTACCATCATGCTTCCCAAGACTGGTAGTACGTGCTTGTTTGTTAGTGCTTTGTGTGCTGCTGCGTCGCAGCTTTCGTTAATCAGAGCATATTGGTAGACAGAGAACCGTTCTGATATCGAATGGTTTTTGACATTGATATCTAGTAGCTACTGCTATGCTTAGAGACGTCGACTCCTTCCCATCTTGACCGTCGACCTTGGATATTGCCGTCTAGTGATGTGACCAAAACGCTGAAATGCCAATCTATGCCCAATGCTTAACACACGCGCCGAGAGATCAAGTCCGACTTGATCGAAGCGCGAATCCCTGGTAACCTTCTTTGTCCGTCTATAGTGCCGAGCCAGACTTGCACTGGCCTAGTTCGTTACGATTCTTCCAACATCCGCTCCCAGGGGAGCAGGCGCGCCGCAGATTTCCCCGGGAGCTGAATAGGAGTTAGGCTATGTGCCGCCATTTGCCTGCTGATGCTCAGCCTTGCTGCCCTTACCTCGCCAGGTGCTGACCGCCGGTATGTCGGCTTTCAATCTCTCTTCCTGTGTTGAGTACGCCTTGGGCGTCAATTTTATCAACGTGTGTAGCGGGACCTCCATCCACGGGCTCTGCTCTTGTGGTACGTTCATGAAGTATGCGTAGATACACCTCAGGATGGCCTGGTGTGTAACGATCAAGATGTTCTCGCTCCGCTCCAGCTCCATGATAATGGGCTCCAAACGAATGACAACATCGCGATATGACTCTCCACCCAAGTAACGGTAGTTGTATTTGTCCTCGTCGCGTTGCTTGAAGTCTTCGGGGAACTTCTGTTCGATTTGAGCGTATGTGAGACCGTCGCAGACGCCGGAGTCGAGTTCGTCGAGCGCTTTCCATTCCAACTTCTCGAATGTGAGGAATCGTGCGGTTTGGATCGTTCGCTTCAAGGTTGAGGTCCAGACAGTAAGTTTGCGACCGTCGCCGACCGATTTCGCAACCAGACCGGGTAGCGCATGCGCGTAAGCATCTCCTCGCTCTGACAGGTTTGCGTCGCCTCCAATTTGGCCCGTGAGGTTGTACTCGGATTCACCGTGCTGCCACGATTAGTTTTCATAGTATGGGTTTGCGACATATACTTACTCGCGATAACCAGATCGAGCGCGGCTTGATGTGGAGATTCATCAAGTAGTAGACGACCCTACTCTGGAGATAGTCCTGGATCTGGTTGATGATGACTTGCTTTCCCACATCGATGAGCTTGACATATGTAAGATCGCGCTCGTCCTCGTCTATGGTCTGGTACACCTTCTCGTAGTTCCGGATACGGTTGCGGAAATCCGCTGCAGCTTCCTCGGGGTCTTGACCGACATAGTCTGGAGATGTCGTCTTTACTTCCAATATGTTGCTCATAATGAGATCCTCGTCGTCGCACTTTGACTCAACGAATAGTGTCTCGATGTTCTCGGCAGCGCATCGCTCCTGTATCCACCTGCGCCGGCTCTTGGTCGAGTTTGTGGCGTCTAGTATCGCGATCAAGCCCCTGCCCTCAGAAAACCATTTGCACATGTCGTTAACAGCTGCTTCGGCGGCTGCTTTCCGGAGACGCTCTCCTTCTGGGTTGGAGGTATCGAAGAACTCGGCGGAGGGGTTTGGGGTCGCAGTACGACGATACTGGCCAACGTTGAACGTCTTGGATTTGATCGATAACCAATGGAGGTAGCGAACCACTGCGTTGCAACTCGTTAGTGTTTATACGAGACCGTACAGGAGAAACGTACCTTTTTGTGCAATCAAACTCTTGCCCCGCGCGGGCAAGCCTACCATGACGACGCATATCCGCGTGTCTTCGGCCTGTACACCAGCACCGTTAGTCTTTCTGCTTGGTCTTACGAAGTCGCCAGCAGGCACTGCGCGCATATTGGGCGCATAGAAGCCATTGGAGTCGGCATTGGAGTCGGTCATTGTATGCGGCAAGTACAGCTTCCTGAAGTCCAGTGACGATGCGACTGGCGAAGCGAAGTAAAAGTTATACGGATCGGAAATCTAGCCGAAGGTATTCCGAGATGCAGCGAGAATGCGGCTTTTAATCAACGATGTAGCAAGGGCAGATGCTAGGCGGTCAACAGAAGGCTGTGGAGTCGCACGGCTGAAGTCGTCTGTTAGGTGAAGCAATAAGTGTATGGACGTCGAGTGTCGTGTTGCAGGGTCGTCAGGTCGGCCCGGCAGTCAAGAAGCGAGAGGAGATGGATTGATTGACGATGATTCCCCCGCATTCGGTACGGCGTCCTTCTTTTCACAAGCCAGAGCAATAAGCGTTCGGATTGCGGCTCCAGGCTAGCGGGCGCGGTGGAGCAGATGTAACGGGTGATTCTCATTCGATAGCACGTGTGGCTGCAGTCCGATGTGTCCACATGTCCGGCAGTCGTGACAGCGCAAACAACGGTCATCGTTGGCGCCTGCCCATGCGCATTCCTTGGTGCTTGCCTACAGCAATGGGCACCGGCAGGACAGCTCCAAGACTCTCAGCCGTTGCCATGCTGCTACGAGCTCTCCGGGTCGTGTGCCACGATGCCGCCTGCTTCTGCGGTATGACGACAATGGCTCCAGCAGCATAGCTAGGGGGTCCAGAAACATGCCTGCCTAAAGCCGCCGATTGCCGGAAAGACGTGATGGATGGGAGCGAAATTTCTTTACATCGTCGTAGTCGCGCGCCAGTCGTCGTAAATCGGCAAAAAAACAATGGTGCATGCTGGAGATCCCAGCAAGGAAAAAAGACTACTTACAGTCGATATGGAGTAAGTCCGGTGATGCATCGTTGACATCAGTTATTGTACGCGTTGTGATGAGGGGCGTCACGTAAGCTTTCGTCGTGGCGGGGCAGTGGGCTGCCAGAGTATCGTGTACCTCGCGATCTGTCGCCTGGGCGTTGAAGGTTGAAGGATCAAATGCACACCACGCAAATGGGATAGACTGCTCTTGCTTAAGGTGCGTACACGCAAGCCCGGGGTACGTCCAGGCCGCTATCGCTCTGGTACTGCGGTGTGTGATCGCCGCGGGATTGGTTACCACTCCCCACGTGTGGCTGACCTGATAACAACGCAGTGCAGCCATAGGCGTACAGTTGGAAAAGCACTCAGCAACACAGATAGATAATGCGAAAAGTAAAAGTTTTTTTCATGTCGTGTGCAACTCCTCATTACATCGTTTCCCAGAATTCGCCGACGCTATGTGCAATCCTACGCCAGACTCAAGCTATAAAGATGCGGGTATCTAGCAATGCTAAAATCATCCTGCGCTACAAATGCCATGCTAAATCACTCTCCAGACGGCCGTTATATGTCATGGACCTTGATCCATCCAACTAAATCTCAAGCATGCAGTTTGGTCATGCCATTGACCCTGTGCGTGTTGTCGATTCCCC